GTAACCGGCTGAGTTCTTCCTATCTCATCCTTTGAAGATTGGAGAGAGAGTAGCTTGTCTTAATTCGGCTGGGAGTTAGTGTGACTACAGTGAATGCCTGAACAGGTCACATATGTGTGAAATGAGGGCTTCTGTACATTGTTTCAAGACTATGGGGTGAATATTTTCAAATCCTCGTGACTTTACCAGGCGTAAGGATTTTAGTTTCTCTAGTACTAAGTCAGGAGTCATAAGGATATTCCCTAAGCAGTCACCTGGCACTGAGTTTGCGTATTATGTTGAACATGTGGATGCCTGGTTCAACCTCAATCTAGTCTCGTCTGTGGGGTAGAATATTTTGTTTGCTTACGGCTTCTTACGATATAGCAGGATGTAACAAATTAGTGATATTGACGTTACTGTTTCCTTGTTAACTTCGTCTACAGCTCATGTCCGTAACCTTTCCCTGGTTTTAACTTCTTACCATAAAATCCTATTACATGCAGATCAAGACCTTTATAGTGAGCTCACACATGACTACTTGAACTACAGAGTTAAAAAGAAAAACAATAAGTAAAATATCACAAAAGCATCAGATCACTGTGACTTATTATTATATTCTGCAAATCAACATTATTGCTAACAATTTGGTTCTTCTGAATTTCCTCTATTCATACGATTAACTGACCATTCGTTTGCTTATTAGTGACTTGTCTTCATTAACCTACATAAGTGCAGGTGTCCAGTTGGTGTTCTAATTCTCAAAAATATCTGCTGAGTCATTGTTTGGCTTTAAACATGAATATTTTCTGCTCTGCTTCTCGCCCCATTCTCCCTATTTCTCTTTTCATCACCTTATTCCAATCCTTAAATATTAGTCTGAATATTTGCCGCACTTGGTTACCTTACCCAGGAGCCTTTAAATTTATTATATGAAGAATATCAACAAGATCTTAGCGCATTGCCTTGTAGTGAGATGATAACTGTTGTTATCCGCGAGATTACCAAGTTTAATCTCGATAGATCCACAATTCAGAAAGAAGACAGTATCTGGATGAAAGGGTATTTTTGTCCGGGGTCTCGTGATATCGAAATAAAATCAAGACCGGAATAAAAAGGCGACTAAAAACCACCAAGCAGAAACGCGGAATGGGAATGACACGCTTGGCGAGCGAGACATAGTCTCTAGTACACTTAAACAAAAGGAGTACTATAGAACAATTATTGTTAGAATTAAGTACAATAATAAATGTCGCCATTTTAGCAATTGTGTTATCTTGGTAAAAGTATACCACCAGAACCTCATCAATTCTAGATATATGCAGACCAGGCTCTATCTTGCATTTTTTCGCAATCATTAGCAGTTCATCGCAACGCAACTGTTGCAACTCGCGCAAATTATTCGCAGTGAACATTGCAGAGTCCCGAAAATTATCTACAATTTTATGTGAAAAGTTTTAGCCGTCTATGTGAAGCCAGTGTATCTTGAGAAACATTTCAGTAACCGAACAACGTTTTATAAAAATATATTATAGCAATCTTAACACTATGGTCTTGCCTACAAACTGCCATACCTCCTGTAACATGTTGTTTGAGAATAATTTATTATTATTATTGTTAACTGATCAGTGAAGTTTGTGCTGAAGATCTCAGCCATCTCTAGGTTAGTGAGGTCTTCCCCATTCGGACCTTTGAGAGAATACAAACCCTGATTCATCGGTTTATTTTTTGTGGTGAACCTAAATAGACGCTCGGGGTGCGCCTGTATTTGAACAACTAGCTTCATCCACTATCACCTCGAACTTTAGTATTGTATCTGTTTCTCAATGCCAAATAAGAACTACGATCGGAATCCTTCAAAGAGACCTTCCGCCTGTTCCATGCCGTCCTCTTCGCCTGTAGCAAGCGTTCAGTGCCGCGCCTAAACAATGTTCTTCTATTTCCGGGTGTGTGGTGTGACTGAGGTATATTGTCTACGACAGCACTAGTGATGATGCTTCTCATTGTTTGCCAGTGATCATCTAGTGTCAGCCCCAGCCATTTTCATGGCCATGACGCATTTAAAAGATTCCGTCACATGCGTGTAATTCGCCACAGTGTAGCAAAGGTAGGGCTTGTTTTCATCCTGTGTGAGTGTATCATCTATGACCAGTTGAAACAAGACTGTGCCATGGTCACTACTTCCTATTAGTGTATGGACTTGAACATCCTCGACCAGGAGCTGATCATCGGTTAACAAATAATCTTGGTTTGAGGACTTTCCTTCCTTTGTCCATCTAGTGGCACTGCATAGTGCTCAGTGAGCCCAGACCTTCTAAAGGCTGCGGCAAGTTGTCTTTGGAACTTAGCAGCTGGAGTTGTGCCTCGATTGCTGATAATTAGAGATGGGGTGTTGAAATCCACAGCTGAGTATTTGACCAAACCCGAAGAGTGGCAGTTGCAATGTTGCCTCTCTGAGTCCTGGTTAATCGTTCCAATTCAGTATTTCGTACCATTTGTGGGGAAACAACATTAACATGATTCTATCACCTCAGTTAGTTGGGTGTCGTATAGCCGCTCGGCTTTTAAGTAGCTGTTTACATATATAGCGACTTCGCCTCCTGTTTGGTGTCATACCTTGCAAGCTCACTTCGTCGTCTGCAATGTCAGATGATGGCCATGCTTCAGTTAGGATTATAATCTTCAGATCCATCTGAGAGCATATATTTCCGATTTCTAAAAGCTTTCCCTTAGTCCTCTTACGTTGCTGTAGAGGCACTTGGTGGTTTGTCTCATCACCTGGTACACCTTTGCAGCAGCAGCCGTTGTCCGGTTTTCAAACAAGTTCTTCGAACTGAGTTGGTCAGTGCTGTGGGAACTGGAGTTTGTAGGTTTTTTGCCTGTTCAGTGCGTCCAATCGGCGGGATCATTATCTTCGTATCTTGTGCCTCGGGTTGTTGATGGAGATAAATTTTCATTTGTGTGTGCTTATTTCGGCCTCCCTGTTGTTGTCTCATAGATATGGATCGGCTTTCGCAACATTTTACATGGCGCGAAAGATCGTTCCTTCGATTGGACCAAACATGAAGCACCTGAAGTCCACAGCCGTCGGATAAGGTGACTTAATGATTGTGAAATGTGATGGACGAGGCAGTCAAAATAACTAGCTGATGTGGTGGTATTAAGACCCATGTTATCCGAGAGCCATCACCTTTGATGCACGTCATGCGGATTAGTTCCGTTAAAGTTACCACCAACAAGTTCGGGCACGCAACGAACAACCATACTGGATTGCAATTGGGTGCCCTGTGATGTCCTGGCTGCTGCTCGTACCGACCACGGATTGTTGTACCTGGCTCGGATCGGCGAGGAAAACTTAACGGAGGGTGTCCGGGATGTGAGGAGAATGGATTCGAAAAGTTGTGCCGAGTCTAAAGTAATCTTCATTGAAATGGTTTCCCTTTTGCGACGTTCTTGCCTTTGAAAAGGCGGCATACGTTGTACAGGGTACTGTAAATTATGATAATTTTTCTATTGTTGTATATCAAAGGCAGCCTTACCTTCTAGTAAGCAGCCCTCCGACACTGGAACATTCAAGTAAATAAGTGAATTCGGTCTAACATCCCTGCCACTGATTGGTAACATTTTGCGAGTTGTAGTGTTGCAGTTTCCATTTTCTACACTTGCACACTTTTCCGTATTGTTAACAGATACTGGGGGATATACAAATACCGACATTTTTGTCAGCGTTTTGGTTTGGGTTATGGCTACTTCTGTCTCTTTTTAGAGTGGTTTAGAGCCATGCGATTTAGGTTTACCTATTGGGATTTGTCGGTTGCTTTCTGGTGGGGCCTGCGACTCTATCAATGCTAATTTTTTGCCGCCTCAGCTATTCCGCACAGTGGTGATATATACTGGAACCATGGACAGGGTTGACTCAAAACGAACCCACAGTACTCTCTAGGTACTGTAGTGTCGCACTGACAATAGGCTCATGTACAACAGAAGTTGCATTCAAAATCAGTCGCTGGCTCTAACCAGTTTTGAGCAGGCGATACAGTTATCTATGTGCGATTTTCGAACAACTGACTGTGTTGTCTCAGCTTTCGGGTGCCTTTGTCTCCCATTTGTATTTTGCCTAGTGATCTCAAGAATGTGAACCTGGTTTGTATGCTGGGGACCCAGTGCAGTTGTTTAGGTCGAGTGATCCGAATTGTGAACATTACTCCGAGTTTCGCTATCAAGTGACGTTTTGAGCTTTTTGACAACTGTGTCGCACAGTATTGGAATTTTTAACTCAATACTGCGCCTGTATTTCGTACCTCTACTGGTTTTCCTAGTTGTTACGATGTTAGAATTGGTAGCAACATTATTGTTTAACATGATACCTGAGAGATTTAGAGATGGAAAAATGAGATGACTGGAAGAAGCAAATACGCGAAATAGGAGTTTTAGGAGGAGGAAAATAAAAAGATTAAATATAACAACCAATAATAGAACCTGAATGTTATTCGAAATCGCCAATTTACGAAAGGCCGTCCTAGTAAGCAACTTCACGAGGATCCAGTAACTTCCATACAAGTCCGTTATTTGCTAGTGAATGAATGTGTGCATGTTACCGAAGCAACTAGGAATGGAGCAGTTGGTAGAGACGGCTATACTACACAGTGGTTCTGACTTGGAATGATTCCGTTTGTCCGAATCAGTGCTCAGATTGTCAACCAATAAATGGAGACAACTTCTGTATCTTCAGGAATGACTTAATGTCTCAGTTGAGTGTCCGAAACTGAATTGTTTCTTGTAAATAATGGGAGGTCGGTGAGGTCATGTCAATTCCCAAGCGCGAGCGTCATCCTAGTCTTTCGATCAAACAACTAGCTATAAAATAAACACAGAGAAAAAAAGTATGCAAAAAGATAACCAATTAAAGCAGGAATAGAATATCTAAGATATGCTTATACTTCATCAAGCAGACAGCTGCCTATATCCAAAGACTTTTTCCAGATTGATCACCATGACAACTGCTTTTTCAACTGTATGAAATGAGTCGCCGTCGCATAACACAAGGTTTGACGTATATTTATCTCATTTTTATGTATAGATTTCGAACAATATCAGAAGTCTAGATCTAAATTTGTACAGACTGTCGCTGTGCTTGCATCTCAGACAGAAAATATTGAAGTTCTACAAAATTTAGGAGTATTGTCCTTATTGAGACCACTTTTACTTGATACGGTACCCACAATTCAACAAACCGCAGCTATCGCGTTAGGACGTCTGGCTAAACATCGAAAAGATTTGGCTGAAGTTATTGTTGAAGGTGATATTTTACCTCAACTGGTTTATTCTCTAGCTCAACAGAACGTATGTTGCTTATTTCAATCAGCTTACTTTATTAGAGATTTTACAAACGGGCGGCCACATTTGTACTGAAGTCGATAGCCAAACATTCAGCTGAACTCTCGCAAAGCATCGTAGATTGTGGAGCTCTGGATGCGCTCACTGTTTGTTTAGAGGAATTTGATCCGGCCGTAAAAGAGGGTGCCGTATGTGCAATTGGATGTATTGCTAAACACTCAGCCGAACTTTCTCAAGCGATCGTAGATGCGGGTGCTATTCCATTGCTCGTGTTATGCATTCAAGAGCCAGGAATGAGTCTTAGAACAGCAACTGCATGTACGTTAGCCGAAATAGCGAAACATACTGCTGATCTTGCTCAATCAGTTGTTGATGCCGGGGCAATCGCTCATCTTGCACATCTTATGCTGTATCAAGATTCATCACTAAAGGTTAGATGGATGATCCCTTACTGAAAGTTTTTTAGCGCCAAATACTTGCTGCATTATCTACAATCGCTAAACATTCTGTGGATCTGGCGGAGCTGGTAGTTGAGGCAGAAATATTCCCAAATGCATTGTTGTACCTTAAGGATGCAGATGAAACTGTTAGAAAAAATTGCGGCAATCTGGTAAAAGAAATCGTCAAACATACGCCAGAACTCAGTCAGTTAATTGTTAATTGCGGTGGAATAGCTGCATTAGTTGACCAAATCGGGGATTCAAAAGGATATACATGTTTACCGAGTGTTATGGCTCTGGGATATATAGCTGCTCATTCTGAAACTTTAGCAACGAGTGTCATATTTTCAAACGTAACTTGTCATACACAAAAAACATTTTCATTAGGCGGTTTCACAATTGAAATGTGTTCTCATAAGAGAATCGAGCGAGGATATACAAGCTGCCGCAGCTTGGGCACTTGGTCAGATTGGTCGCCATTCTCCTGAACATGCAAAAGCCATAGCTCAATCTGACGTACTGCAGAATTTGTTGGATTGCTTTCTAAAGCCAAGTGCTTCGGAGGAACTTAAAGCGAAGGTAACTTAATCAATTGCTCTCACATTTTCTTTTAGACTAAAAAGGCAATGAAGCTAATAATTCAAAAATGTACCAACTTAGAGGCACTAGAAACGTTACTACAAAAAGCACCTCCAAGTATCTTAAAACATGCAGTCGCACAGTTTAGCAAAGTACTGCCACATGACAGCAGAGCACGTCGATGGTTCGTGGCCTCTGGAGGTCTTAAAAAAATACAGGAGCTGAAGGATGACAATGAGGGCCTTTTGTCAGAGTACATTAATGCTATAAACAACTGCTACCCAGAAGAGGTTGTACGTTATTATTCCCCAGGGTATGCCGAAACATTAATGGAGCGTGTAGAAGCATACCAAATACCGATTTGAAATCTACTCTCTGAATTCAAAAATCATGTTTGAAGATTATGCTTGAGATATTTTATCTATATATCACAAATAAATAAATAAATAAAGCTAGTGAATAATACGAGAGATTAGTAAATACAATAAAATACTCTAGATTTTGTGTCTATCAGTCAAACATGTTCCGCATTTGTTGATTTATTAACCTTAAAAAATAAATGCCATTTAGTAATTAGCTAGTGAGACGAACTAACTCTTCTCTATCAAAGAGAGTTATTTCAACATGCAACTTAGTTTAGGAACAAAGCGTATGAAATTAGATACAAATATAAACCTAGTCAGGAACATACGACTGTTTTTTAAAAGTACAGAAATGTTATGCGATGCGACTAAGTTCATTCACCGAATAAATAATCTGCCCCCACAACATGATTGGGTCAATATTAAATGTTATTCTATAAGCAAAACAGACAATCGAATAAGTATTAATCGACTATGTCATGTATGAAATATATGACCAAAATACGGGGATTCATGGCAGACCTGGGTTGTATTTTTGAACGTAATAACCTGCAAAATAAATGGAAACATGAATGCGATACATATGGAAAACTAAATGCGAAATATATTACATTGCTAGAACAAGAGCTTCTAAGACCATACTTATTATTAGAATCGACATAAGAAAACGATTTTAGAAAATTAATGACGATAAGTAAATGCAAATAAATAATAAAAAACGTTAGCAACCAATTGGCCGAAACAGCAACGAGCTATCCAATTCGACTTGATGCGTCAGACAATCAGCAAATTGCTTGCAAACAGTGTTGAAACCCATATATGTTAGGATATTGAATCCGCACTAGCTTACCCATTCATAAGTGAAAAATGTGTGCCATCTGAATAAAAGTGTAAGTCACAAACTGAACTTAATCCAACTCATTACACCATATCTTGTAATCTACTCGTATCTGTATAGTACAGCATTTTCAACCTGGAAGTACAATAATTAATGGTATACTAAAAATATAGTGTATAGATTGTGCCAAAAAAACACTGAAATGTCTTATCAGTAGTAATTGGAATGAATCTTATCTTTACCTCAACGTAACTAGAGAGTGACTTGCTTCTGTATCGAATTCTATTTGGGTTTTTGATACATTTTTGCTGTTGTTGTGATTGCTTTTTTCTAAGTATATTTATAATTTTAACACCAGTTAGGCATCATAAACTCAATCTGCGAAAATATATCACGATGTAACAACCTACACACTGAAAAATGCAATATTAGTGAAATAAACAAATTCAACCATCATACTTTGCATAACATTTAATCAATACTTCTTATGACAAAAATGGATTTTAAATATACAGAAATACACATACAGTTAAGTTCGCCATCGTATTTCCATTCAACACTACTAAATGACAGTGGTTTTGGAGATGCTTGATTCTGTGTGGTTAGTTGCTGATTGTCCAACTTACATTGACCAATAATACAGCCAACAATACCAGTTAGTGACCTTCAAAACAGAGAAACATACAGATAAGAATTACTAACGATAAGTAGACAAAAGTTCCGACATTTAAACACTGTCTAGCAAGAGAAGATATTTCCAATGAAATTAAATTACTTATAGCAAATGACTTGGCAAAATAAACTTCAGACACTGAAGCATGTGAGCTGACACGTCATAAATAACAGTCCCAGAATGGATTCATAAAGAAAAGTCACAGTTTTTGACCATAGAACAGATTAAGATCTGAAGTCCTGAGGATAATCGTAGATGTTGGATCGAGTAAATTAAACATCGCAGTATCTTCCTGATTTTTACTTGATTATGTACAGTTATTTTTTTAAAATTATTTAACAGCGAAAATGCTACACAAATACCACGAAAATACATGAAAAATGGAAGGATAAACAAACTATTTTTAGATACTGACTTATAGTTGCTATGCCTAGACATTCTGGGTGTAGCAGCCAAGGCACTGTTTGCAATTCTTCTGAGACAGCCGTAATCGAACATAGAGTTCTGTTATATCTTCAGCTCGACAAGACCGAATTTGACAAACATAGAGCAAAACTACTCCTACTAATGAATTGTAGTCCCGACATTTTACAGCCAGGCCAATGTCACGAAGGCCTCTAAAGTGGCCCAGATTGGCATAAGCCTCTCTGGCCTTCACTATATTTGAATTATTCTCATCACTCACAAAACCGCCAATACTTATACAGCTTCCCTCGTAAATGAACCTTTCGACTTCTTCTATTTGGTCGCTAGAACGGATGTGTGCAGCTACAGGGTCCTGGCCAATCTTGTCTAGGTACTTAAAAGTCGAACGGCACATGCCATACCTATGGACACTAGCCACCAAGTGAATAAGTGCAAACTGCATGACTTGGAAATCATTGTACGGTAAGACAATGTCTTCAGCATGCTCAGCGTAGAAAAACCTTTCTACAGATTACAGATCCAAACCATCATTGCCTATATCCATCAGAGCTGTTTCTAGAACGTCATAGAAAGCTAAATTGAAGAGTAGTGGTAAGATAAAGCTACCCTGCCGAAAGCTACTACATGCATGAAACGATGGTGGTTGTATGCCCTTACTCTGCTTAATGTGTTTGTGTATGAGGCCTCTAGAATGTTAGTGAACTCCCCAATCACACCCTTCTTCACCAAACAATCCTAGAGAACGCTCCTATACAGTGAATCAGAGGAAGAGGGAGGTCCCAACATCTGGCGAAGATGCGATCAACACATCTTTGGTTAGAGTGAAAACCAGCTTGCTCCTCACGCGTCAAACTTTCTGGGGTTTTGAAAAATCTACGAAGTATAACAAGGCCCAATAATTTGGGCACAATCGGTAGTAGAGTTATCCCCGATTGTGGTTACATCCATGACGTCAACATTTTTTAAAGATAGGGAAAACTGTTGACTCATCCCACCATGTCGGAACACTCTAACTGCCGAACGGTTGTAAGCATCTGAGTCAGTCACATAATCAAGTCGCCACCACCTTCAAAAAGGGTCGGGAGTAAGGCATCTAGGTCCGGTGACTTGTGGGGCTGAAACAGTTAGAGCTACTTGTAGACTTCCACCTCGTTAGATGGACCACTAGTCACCGGCCACGGAGGATAGGGCAGTCTGATCGACGTTTCCGAGGCAGCAGACCCCCGACCGTAGCTGCTACCTTGACGTGGTGGTCGGGCTTGCCTATCGTGATGACCCAACCGAGCTATACTTGCCGGAACATATGTTCCTGAAGGTTCTACCATGCCAGGCAGGTCAATTGGAGAACGATGAAATTAAAAGCAGCTATTCAAGGTCTGAGGGCGAAGTCGTACTGCTGACTGCAGAGGGGTGTGACGGCAGTAAGGTGATTCCCTCGGACAACCAGCATCTGCAGCGATGCTGCCTTCTCACAAGGAAGGAAGGGTTAGGAAAGGTTGACCCTGAAAATGTCACACCTCACGGATTTCCGTCCCCTTGGGTAAGGGTGCCCACTAAGGGCCTTTAAGAACGGAGCTAATCCTCTAAATACCTTTCATAAAAAGGCCGTGCGTGACCGGCCTCAAGCAGCTGTCCCTTGGACTCTGCGGTCACGCTCCCAGGTCGTTAAGACCAACGCCAATCTACTTTCCTTTTGAGGTTCTTCTAGAAACAACCTTTCACGTTGTGGGCAGCCGGGAAGTGACAACCACCCTCATGCCCGTAACAGCACGAGAGACTGAATTGGTCAAAATCAAATCCTTCCTACAACCCCTATTACCTCTCTTATGTCCACGACTAACTTCTCTCACATTCCTTTATCACAGTGCACAGCTAATGCAAACAATACGAGTTCACGAAACGTCATTTCTGGTCTCCTGAAACCTGGGGCAGCAGAACGGTTGAAATGCTCCTCGAGGATCTCTGTCGTACGGCCAAGATGTTGTTAATTGGTGTCCCATCAGCATCACCGATTATTCCACTCACATCAGACTTGTTACTGTCAGCGGCGCGGATGAGTTGAGACTCCGGTGGTTTCCAGATGTAGTTGCTACTTCCAACTCGTCAGCCTGCTCAGACCACAAGGTTTTGCAGTGCCCTTTGCACTCTTTGATTACGTATCTATCTTTTTTACAGTTAAACTCATGGTCACCTTGAGTAGACCGACGGAGCTTACAGAAACCTAGTGCTTATAAGCAGGACATTATGCAAAGCAGAAAGCAACTATGCTCACCAGTTTCTTGCAATTGCAGCTACTACTCATCTATACTTCTCGGTGAATGGATAGCTACACTTGAACCTAGTTCGGTTTGATAGTTAGCTGAAACAGAAGTTACAACCCATTTTGTTGATATAAGTCCGTTTAGGCCTGAAAAAGGCCGTTTTTTACACAGCCATGCTAGCGGTAGCTGATGGCGATGAGTCCAGGTTTGAGATAAAGAGGAAGGTCGCCAGATAGCACATCGGCGAATACTGCCCAGGTAGTTAGTGCTAGCCAAAAACAGGTTTTAGTCCGTACAAAGTTGTGGCGGGCGATCGCTGTTGTTTGACCAGCAAGTCCTTATTAACCACCTAGACGACTGCTTTGCACCTAGACACCCGAACTGCGCATTCAAGTCTCCGGCTAGTACTACAATATCTCTGGGATGCACTTTCTTGAGATCGATTAACTGTAGGTAGAACTCATCTTCAATTGTATCTGGGCTGCAATCTGCCGGGGTGTAGACAGAGATAGCGAAGAGACGTCGTTTCTCACACCCATTACCTTTCATTTTGTGGAGCTATCTAGTCTAACAGTACATAGCCGACGGTTTACAGGAATCCACTCGATTAGCGTTAACTCGGGTCTAGCGCAACACTAACGTCAGCAAGACCAGACGACAATGCCACAAGGTTCCCAGATATAAACGCATGCGAAACAAGCTTCTCAAAGTAAAAGGTAGAAAGACGTGTATTACGTTACCAGTCTTGAATAAGGGTCTCGGATAGACAACAGACATTAATGTTCAGAATTTCTAGACATAAGCGACCCTGTTTGTTGTCCCACTTGTATGAACGTGTGAACGGTGAAGACTAGTTTGGATGGCATAAGTGGTTGAAGAAAGGCTGCATCAGAATAGGTATTCCATAGTAGCGTTTAAATATCGACTTGAGATCGTTTAGGTAAGATAAGATTTCCACTATCAGGGAGCTGTCGTATGAGTTGAACAGTAAGGAATATACAAATAGAAATAAACAAGCGATACAATTTAAGATGAAGAAGAATGTTGTCAACTAATTAAGAGTACAACGTGTGGGGGATGAGGTGAACATAAGATTTCCCAGTTATTTTCATCATTTAGTTTTTGCGTGGGCTATGATACTACTCAAGTGCCACAACCGAAGCAGGTGAGGTGACCACTCCTCAAACCTTTGACTAAGAAGCCTAGTGCTACTATCAGAAGATAACCAAGTCTATATCAAACCCTTCGGCACATTGACTTGGACAATACTCGTCACCTATCGGATTATGCTTCAGATAAACACCGTTTCACTACCCATTTTATTGATAAATAAATAAACCTTGAAATATGAAAATACACAATTAACCTATATAATTTTTTGCTTCTATTTATCGACGGATTAAACTTAGCCAGTCTGTGTATTACCAAACAGAATGTTAAACCAGTCCAGTTTGAATTGGTGGGCTTAAGTGACCTTCTTCGAAAGGACAAAGTAAAGTAAGCAAAAATGAATAACTATCAGGCTGTCATCATTCCTATTTTATGTTTTTAACTTGGAAAATATAATGTAAAACAGTAAAGACCATGTTAGAGTACAAAAAGATAAATATGTGTATTTTGTTTAAAATTTATTAGTAAAAATAAACAAATTAATCCTGAAAATGTTTTATTCACCAAAAATCATTTGATTTATGCATAGTAAAGCATAGCTATGCATCATAAGAACGATTGATATTAGGCAGGTTATAGAGCTGGAATACTATACAAATAATAAATATATATATTGGTTCACAAACCATGTTTTTTAATGTAAGAACTTAAAAAGAAAATAAATCAGAAAAAGACTAAATATATATAAAGAGAAAGAATATTACATATCTGATATACACACGGAATGTTTCACTGAATCATTTAAATTATCTGTAACAGAAGGATTTGAATATACTAATTGAATTGGTATGTCCCATAGAAATTTTTCAGTTTTTAAATTAAATGGAATTGTCCATACTGTACCATAAGATTTTTTTACACATGATCTACCATGAAAATGATCTAATAAATCATTTTTACTATTATTATCAGATATTAAATCAAGCTCCAAGTGTAGACGCCATCGATAATCTAAAGAAATAAATGGACTAGTTAAACTAACAGAATGAAATTGTGGTGTAATATTTGTTGGAATAGGCAATGTAAAAGGTAATAATAGTTTGGACATACAACATAATTTGATATCTGTCCATGTAGTATATTGTGTAGAGCCTGAAATAAGCAATAATACAAGCAAATTATGCTGTATAGAATATACAATGAATAAAACAATAATAATAAGTAGATAAGAATTATGGAGACAATATGAAAAAAACTATCTGTTAACATATACATTCTAAGTTTTATAATTAACTGCATGAATACCAAAAGTTGACGTGTCTAAAGCACTTTTCCGCTACCAAGGCAAAATCAAGTACAAAAACACATTCGGTTGATTTAGCGAATATGTTGTAACTCATATCACAGAAGTAATTGAATTGGTGAATCATTATAAGGTACACCAAATCAGATGGTCGGATGATTGAAGAATGAAGCTCATATCATCGGTACGGTAAACGCTTTTTGTAGGGTTTTTTCTTGGTGTAGTGTTACATTTTCACTGACTTTCAAGTTCGAAAAATAGCAGTCTCTTGGAAATTGTCGCTATTTGAGTTTTTGCCTTCGGTTGATTCATGTATATAAAATAATAGGATAGTGTTTAGTAGTTTAGTTTAGTTAGTAGCCTTCTAAAAAGGAAATGAGTTTAATATGATGTGCCGAGGTTTCCAGCATATTTATTAGTTTTAAGGAGTGTATGAAACGGTAAAAGGAGTATGCGTCATCTTTCTAATAATGTTTCATTTAGACTAACACTATCTGTAAAATCCGTGAAAACTATCTGCATATTACAGTTTGCTATTTCGCTAACAAGTTGGAATTCGTCGGAACATATTTTCAGCTTTGTTAGGAGGCCATAAGGCGCATCCACTAAGTATCGACTATAATGAACAACCTTAAAGACACTTAACACACACACTTAATAACTCGAACTTTCACTAAAATTTTGAAAGCGTCAATGGTAATGGTCAGCCTATGAAGTTAGAACGTACGGTTTTGTACAGCTGCTTGTCAGTATAATAATACTACAAATGGGTACCACCGCAAGCGGATATGAATTTTCCTATATCTCTAAACAATATAGTGATGACAGATTAGCTCATACAGACGTCAGTAATACGTACATATTTCAGTGCTAAACTTACCTAAAGGTTGAAAATTTGTACACGAAGGTTGACCAATTTTAGTTAGGGGTAGACAACGCATAGAATAATTTTGAACTTCATTTTTTCTACTTTTAATCCTACAGCCTGGTAGAAGAAAGGGGTTTTCATGATGAAGCATAAATCTTTCTTCACTTTCGAGCCGGATTACACAGTTAAGACATTTCACAACAGCATCATTAAAATCAAAATAACCCCGCACCATATCACCTAAACAGTATAAAGTACGTTGGAAAGATAACCGTCCAACAAATCCACGTGGAGTAGAAATCATGAAGTTAGCTAAAAACAAAATACGAAATAATACCTATGAAGTATGCCATCACGGGGAAAACAATTGGGAAAAATCAAAATAATTAGTTGCTATTGTTAATATTTGAGACTGTAGTGACCGAGTTTCAGTGAAAACGTTAACACTGAAACACGGATAAACTCAGCTAATACGTTATAAACGTGATTTTGATTAAATTGCTAGCTATTATTTAAAATATAGTTAAAGACTTGTGTTTAATAGTAACAACTATTCATGTTATTGATAATTAGACGTTACATTTCGTAAGGCAGAAATTTAGTTGGGTCGTTTAACCGATAAAACGACAATAAAGCGTGTACCCGATAAAGTTCATTGGAGCACTGCAACATACTGGTAAATAAAAAATTATTATTTTTCAAGTATACAGTAACTTCAGTTGATTCTTAACAGTGAATCCGAGTTATTAACAACTAGGAATATTCATTCAGTAAATAAAGGTCCGTTGATACGCCATAAAAATTTTCTTTTCAATGATTCTGTAAAACTAGTCAAACACTTGAAGTAGTATAAGATATCGAGTGAACAATACTGAAACAATAATATTTATGTTCAATTATTTACGACTGACTTTAAAATTTCAAAAAACGTAATCAACCACAAAGAACGTGATAAAAACTACGATTGATATTATCTACAAAAATACTCACCCGATGGTGAACATGTCAATAAATTCATTAATTCCGTATGTGAACCGGGATAGACGTAAATTTTGTTTGAGTTTTCTAAACAATTGTTGGGACAATCTGAGTTTTCGCACCGGGAGACATCGTGTGGCAGAGCTGAATATACTTGACCGACAGATTTAGTGGTATGTCCTTCCTTCTCTTCAGTTAAAGTATTAATTTCTTGTGAATGCATGTAAAAACCTCCATCATAGCCAAAATTAAAACAAGAGTCTTTATCCCTATTATCAGGAATCCAAAACGGATTCGACATATCAGGTGAATAAGTTTCTGTCTTATTATCAAATTCTTGGATTCTTAAACTATGATATAACACTGAAGAAGGCAAAACACGAAAAGGCAATTGAACAGTACGCGTCTTGATTTCAGAGTTCGAATATTTTATTTGAACTGCAACAACCACTTTGTAGGCAAACTTAAATAGCGTGCCACGAACACTAGGTGAAAGATTATACGGTAAATAAGCATACAGACCGACTGAAAATTTAAAAAAATAACGAAATTAGAACCGTTACAAAGGATGAGGGTAAACAAGAACAATAAATCTAAAAAAAACCAAGACAAAATATATTAATGCATCTTTCAATTATTTCCTACATTAATACACCTGTTTTCAACCAAATCACTATGTTATTTACTTGATTTGATGGTATTTATAGTCCAAATCATCACACATAAACACCATATTTACTTAATTAAGCAGGTATCTTTATTGTTCAAAGTATGATATAATTCAATGTACTTTTTCGTTGGTAATTATAGTATACGACAAACCAAAATACCTGAAATGATGTACTAGTTACGCCTTTCACTATGTATCAAGAATCCCTTTATTTTGATAAGAAATCTTAACCTGATAGTTGTGGACTTGATTAAAGTAGTTTGCTTAAAACGGAAACGATAATTAGGAAAACAAACTTATGGATGTAATAATTAACAATATGACTGGATTGGTTTTTTTTCCTATTTAAATGGATATTAATTTTCAAAAGTAATATTTTCCTTAGAGAAATGGCTTTCAAGAAGTCGTGAAAAACACAGAGATACATGAGTTTTATTTCCTTAGGATTTTACAGAGGGAATCCAAGGTTTCAAAACTACCATTTAAGACAGCACCAATGATTAAACAATGTCTATGGAAGCAAACGGATAATATTTGTAAACTATACGTATACGACGGACAGCTAAAACCTTGGAGTATTGACTGGAACGACAAGTGCGTATTCCCCAATAAATCTATATCGACTAGGAGGGTTATCTTTACAAGTTTTATCAAACTAGGAAATCCAATTGATAATGGGTAAAAAAAAAAGAAGACACTACCATAAAATAAAGATTTTTCTTTGATAACAGGGCTTTGAGGTTGAGTCTTCATTGCTGTTTTTGTCATCGAACGAAATCGCCAGTGATTTAGTAATTCAAATATGAGAAAAAGGTTTAGAAAGCGTATGTAAAGGGAGAAAATACTACAAATCATTACCATCTGAAAAAGAGTAAACAGATTTTTGAAAGTTACCAGGTCCTTTATCTGGAATATATTTCACATGCATCGGAATGACACATATTAATTGACTTTTCGACTCCAGTGTAGAAACAAACAACGATTCAGCATTGACTAAATAAATAAATGAGAAATTGAAGATATTATTCACTAAAATATTATGAAATGTTAAAATTATTCAGACAAATTTGACTAATTATTATGTCAGATGTACAATTTGAAAAAAGAAACTTTGAAAAGAAACCACAATAGTCAGTTAATGATATACATGGTTTTGATATAAAGTTTAAGTTAACTTATAAACCAGGTATTTCGGTATAAGCCATTTTATGTGAAGTTTGATGTTATTACCTGGTCATCCAAATCGAAGAAGGTAGAGTAGTGCTTGAACTAAGAAATAAGTAACTAAAAGTATGTAATTAACATTCTACCCATTCATAAGTGAGAAATGTGTGCTATTTGAATAAAAGTGTGAGAGTCACAAACTGAACTTAATCCAACTCATTACACCATATCATGTCATCTACTCGTATCTGTATAGTACAGCATTTTCAACCTGGAAGTACAATAATTAATGGTATACTAAAAATATAGTGTATAGATTATGCCAAAAACACACTGAAATGTCTTATTAGTAGTAATTGAAATGAATCTTATCTTTACCTTAATGTAACTAGAGAGCACCTAATTTCTGTATCGAATTCTATTTGGGTTTTTCAAGCTCTTTTAGCCAATGTTCTCAATGCTTGTTTCCAAGTTTATTTATTTTTTCAATACTCAGTCAGCTAATCAGTTACTACGTAGAATTCCGTGCCTACGTATATTAGTTCAAGTTGCCATATCACATTAGCACAAAGACAATTATCAATTCAAATCCTATAGTGGTATATGTAGTAGGAGATTAGGGTTCGACTATATTCTGACAAAAGACGAGGAATGGATGCAACTGAGCTATTTCAAACGATTTTGAGTCATGTCCTTTAAAGTCTCTAACCATCGGCTACTATCATGTCGCAGACCCCAACCAGGTAATCTACACTTACCAACATGACTCAGTCCACTTGTCAGTGACCTGATGGATATCTGCCATGTTTTGGTTTGGCCGCCACTACCTTTCTTTTAATCTACTCCTATACCACAAAATATCGCTGAACGAGGCGGTTGGTGATTGGGTATTCGTAACACATCCCAACTACCTAAGCTGATGAAGATTCACTACTTCATCATTGATGTGCCATCCTTACCTAGTACCCGTTGCCTAACAATAGCATTGCTTATTCGATAGTGCCAGGACATACGAGTAATGGTTGCAAGACATTGGTAATCAAATACTAATAGCCTACGGATATCCTCTACTCTGACTGGCAATGTTTCACAGTCACCTATTAGGACAGAGCGAACTGCTGCGCAGTAAACTCATCCGTTGATTAGCAGACGGATATCTTGCCTACGCCAGAAGTGACGCAAAAGCCAGACGAGCTCTTTGCTCAGATAAAAGTTCAACTCCTGAAAAGTCAGATGATGAAAGTGTTACCTCCAAAAGCACGTCATTTATAGAGTTAAACAAGAATGGAGAAAGTGAACAGCCCTGAAGAACACCACCAGAAGTAGTCAATTCCAATGACAGTTCGCCATAAGCTCTAACTCGATCAGTGGTGTTCGAGTAGAGAGGCTGTATAATGGTAATGAACTTCCCTAGTACCCCGTTCAGAGACAAACACTGCCATAGCAGCTCCCACGTCCAGGTCTGAAACCAGCCTACTTTTCTCAAATCTGCTCTTCACGAGCACTAGTTAGGCATCGGAGGGTTTTTTAATACTTGGTAAACATGAAGAGCTCAGTCTGCAAAAAAATATCACGATGTAACTACCTGCATACTACAAAATGCAATATTAGTGAAATAAACTAATTCGACCATCATACTTTGTATAACAGTTAATCAGTACTTCTTATGACAAAAATGGATTTTAAATATACAGAAATACACATACAGTTAAGTTCGCCATCGTATTTCCATTCAACACTACTAAATGACAGTGGTTTTGGAGATGCTTGATTCTGTGTGGTTAGTTGCTGATTGTCCAACTTACATTGACCAATAATACAGCCAACAATACCAGTTAGTGACCTTCAAAACAGAGAAACATACAGATAAGAATTACTAACGATAAGTAGACAGAAGTTCCGACATTTAAACACTGTCTAGCAAGAGAAGATATTTGCGATGAAATTAAATTACTTATAGCAAATGACTTGGTAAAATAAACTTCAGGCACTGAAGCATGTGAGCTGACACGTCATAAATAACAGTCCCAGAATGGATTCATAAAGAAAAATAACACTTTTTGACCATAAAACAGATTAATGTCTGAAGTCCTGAGGATAATCGTAGATGTTGGATCAAGTAAACTAAACATGGCAGTAACTTCCTGATTTCTACTTGATTATGTACAGTTAATTTTTTAAAATTATTTAACAGCGAAAATGCTACACAAATATCAGGAAAATACATGAAAAATGGAAGGATAAACAAACCATTTATATTCCTCTTGAACCACATCTTCCGAATTCCGAGGAAAAGTCACTTCACATTTGACTAAATCTCCACCTGAATATATGCCAGACCCAACCAGTTTGGCAGCTACATCAAAATTTTGTGCATGAGATGTTGGTGACATTTATTCATGCACGGTGACATCCAGATGAGGATAATCTAGCAGACAAAACAATTTGAAAGGAAAGCTTTTCGTCTAATAAATAGCAGCTACATCAAGATTCGAAATTAACATTATATTTAAAAATATGTATTTTGGTGACACTCAGAAATCCGAATTGTAAACCAATAAGGAGATCTTGCGGGACTTGAAAGAGAAACTATGTTTTATACGTACGATATGGATGTGTTATTACTTCGAAAATAAACATTTAGTTATACAACTAAGTAGCGTTTGTAACTAGAGTATCCACAACATATGGAGCGTTTAATTTTTTCAAAATCACTATGATGTGGGTTATAAGGGCTGAGCTCTGGATCATTAAAATTACAGACATGAACTTTGACTCAGTAGTGCATCCTATTCTGCTGAGATACCATCAGTTTCTTTCCACACACTGTGTATACTTGGATGAAACTTAATTAAAATACAAATGATAGTATAAAGAGTAGCCAAATAATACATGCACCATTCAAAACTTGGAATTAGTGTGTGGGCTAGGACACCGTTCGGGTGCCCAAATCGAAGCAGGTGATTTTCTTAAGAGATCACCTCTCAAACCTTTGACCAGTAGGCCTAGTCCACAAGGCAACGGAACAACGTCAAGAGATGCAGTCCTATGGTATCCAGTGACCAACAATGAGTCCATACGTCAATGATACCTTCAGGATCATGGAGCGCGTGTGCACCAGTGGTTTAGAATCACGGTTTTCCAACTCCCCTAGGTGGATTCTCCATACCCACCAACCTGATTTAAGCCTAGCTGGAAATTCGCTTTCCATCTTCTCAACCTCGTAAACAACACTCCATTACGAGAAGGCAATCAGTAGGACTTCTGTGGTAGTGGCCATATGAGGGTATTTTGAGAGGGGGCGAACCTTTCCCGCTCTCAGTCATACTAAAGCATTTGGGACTACTCGGATGATATAATGGTGACACGATGATTTATGGACGACTTTCTGAGTAGTATTAACGTGTCCTTGAGGAATGTCAACCACCTGAAAATGTCGAAATAGGGTTAATAATTTACGCGAGGTCAGTCAGTTGCAACGTAGAACTTCGTACGTATGTACATAAGTTCATGTTGCCATACCACATTATTAGCACAGAGACGCAAATGTCAAATCAAATCTCATAGTGATAAAGATGGTAGAGGTATTAATGTTATAATAAAGAAGACTAGGGTTTAAGATATTATTCAAAAAATATAATTCAGTGAGATAAGGTTAGAAAGACAAAGGTAGAGGTGCTGGCTAATCCAGAAGATTAGGATTTGAGAGAGCTCAAAGAGTGGATGCACCTGCGCCATTGCAAACGATTTTGAGCCATGTCGTTCAAGGTCTCTAACCATTGATGACTTTCGTCTCGCGGACCCCAACCAGGTAGTCTAATTCTACCAACATGACTCAGTCCACTTGTCAGTGAGTTCATGGATTTCTGCCATGTTTTGGTCTGGCCGCCCCTAGCTTTCTTCCAACCTACTCCTACACCACAAAACATAGCTCGTCGAGGCAGTCGGTGGTTCGGCATACGCAACACATGTCCCAACCACCTCAACTGATGAAGTTTCACCACTTCATCGATTGATCTGCCATCCTTACCTAGTACTCGTTTCCTAACGACAGCATTGCTTACTCGGCTGTCCCACGATATACGAGCAATGCTTCTTAAACATCTATGATCGAATACTAGTAACCTACGAACATCTTCTACTCTTAACGGCCATGTTTCACAGCCATATAAGAGAACGGAACGAACTGCTGCGCAGTACACCCGCCCTTTGGTTAGCGAACGGATATCACGCCTACGCCATAAGTGACGCAGGTTGGCGAAAGCCAATCGAGCTGAGATTTCGTCAGTCACCAGACCGTCAGCACTGATGAGACTCCCCAGATAAGTGAAGTGATCTACACGCTCGACTACTTCACTCCCTATCACTAGTTCAGGTGCCGAAGCAACCCAGTCTTGAAGCAACATTTTGCGTTTCGAGGGGGAAAACCGCATCCCGAACATGCTCGCATTGTTGCTTATGGTAGTCAGAAGACTCTGCATTTTGTCAGCGTCTTCACCGAATAGAACTATGTTATCGGCATATTCTAGATCAGTAAGCGACTTTCCTGGTAGAAGGTCAACCCCTGAAAAATCTGACGAGCTTAATGTTAACTCTAAGAGGATGTCTACGACAAAGTTGAACAAGAATGGAGAGAGTGGACAGCCCTGACGGACACCACTTGATGTAGAGAATTCAGATGACAGTTCGCCATATGCTCTCACCCGACCAGTGGTGTTCGAGTAGAGTGCTTGTATAAGGTTAGTGTACTTCTTTGGTACACCTTTCAATGACAGACACTGCCACAGAACCTCACGATCCACTGAGTCAAATGCCGCCTTAAGGTCCAGGAACACGACTATTGTCGGACGTCTAAATGTGTGTCTGTGTTCCAGGACCTGTCGTAGTGTGAAGATGTGGTCTATACAACCACGTCCAGGTCGAAAACCAGACTGGTTTTCTCGAGTCTGCTCTTCGCGAGCTCTAGTTAGACGTCTAAGTATAATCGAGGCTAACAATTTAGAAACTATATTAGTTAAACTTATTCCCCTGTGATTGTCACAAGAGGACTTCTGTCCTTTCTTGTAGATTGGGACAATTAGCGACTGAGACCAGTCAGATGGGATTACGTCCATTTCCCAGATTCTACCTAGGATCTCGGTCAGTTTAACCGTTAAAATTGGACCACCATCCTTAAACATCTCAGGGGTAAGCCTATCGGGACCTGCCGCCCTACCTCTCCTTAGATTTCCTATAGCTTTCTCAACTTCATGTAAACTGGGAGGACTTAAATCGATTTGCCATTCAGGATGACTGGAGATCGTGGGCAACCGAAGAGTGGCTGAAGGCCAGTTGAACTGATCCCTAAAGTGTTCTGCCCATCGATCCAGCCTCCTAGATTGAGAATGGATAATAAGACCATCCTTTTCCGAGATAGTCTCACTTACATTCGGGTTCCTAATACCGGTTTCTTTGATAAGGCGGAAAAGTTGTCTAGTGTTGCCGATCGCCGCTACCTTTTCCATCGCTTTTGCTTTCGCCACCCACCACTGTTCACGGTCGTTACGTAGGCTCTTTATAAGTCTGCGCCTAAGCTGACTACGCTCTTCATCATGTTCAGAGTCAGGTGGGATGCGTTTTCGAGCATCCATCAGTTCGGTGGATGCGACTGAAATCCACTGCTTCATCCTAGCATTGTGGTTTACCTTGCTAGCAGATACCATTGCTGTTTCCACAGCCTTCTTGATATGATTCCAACCTGCTTCAGGATGGGAATCACTTGCATGGCCGCCTAACTGTTTTTCTAGTTCCTCCTGAAATATTTTCTTAGCTTGATTATCATCAAGTAAAGCCCTAAGAGGCTTCCTTACGGTGTCTTTCCTACGTCCAGCAAGCCTCAAACAAATACGTGCTCGCACTAGGGCATGATCTGAATCTAAACATGTGCCCCAGAACGAGCGACAGTCCTCTATCGAACCCCTCCATCGGTGGCTGATGGCGATATGATCTAGTTGTGTCCAACGTTGAGACGACTTCGGGGGTCGCCAGGTCAAAAGGTGTTTTTCCTTATGCTTAAAATTAGTGTTTGCTAGAAATAGTTGGTTATCTGAGCACAGTTGCAACAGTCGGTCGCCATTGTCTGTTCTTTGAGCCGCGAGACCGTAACATCCACCTAGGTGTCTTTCATTTTCACTTAGTCTACCTACTTGTGCATTAAAGTCACCAGCCATTATAACTATATCAGAGCGCTTAACTTTTTGGAGGTCCGAAAGCTTTCTGTAAAACTCATCTTTTACATCATCTGGGCTGCAGTCAGTGGGGGCGTAGGCTGATATGACGAAGAGGCAACGGCGAGTGTCCCTATCTTTCCGAGTCCTTACTGTCCCGTTCAGTCGGACGGCGCACAAGCGACTATCTACAGGGATCCAGTCAAGGAGAGATTGTTCTGCCCTACGACTCAATGCTATACCTACACCGGCGAGGCCCCTAGAAGCAGCATCAGGGCTACCGGATACACGAAGGGTAAATCGAGCTGCTTCTTTATCTTGACATGGTGAGGTCAAATGAGTGATGCTACTCGGATCCTGTATGCGCGTTTCCGAGACGCAGCACACATCGATGGAACGAGATTCTAAAGTCCTAGCTAATGATGCCTGTTGCCCTATTTGACACAATGTCCGTACATTGAATGCTCCAACATGTAGTTTAGAACGGGGTTTAAGGAGACCAGGAACGACGTTTCGCAAACTCGCATCGTTTGCATTAGCTGTGCACTGTAATAAATGAATGTGAGAAGAGTTAGTTGTGGAGATAAGAGAGGTATTAGGGAATGTAGGAAGGATTTGATTTTGAACAATTTTGTCTCGTGTGCTGTTGCGGGTATGAGGGCGGTTATCACTTCCCGGCTGCCCACACCGTGGAAGAATTTACGCGAGGAATCGTAGTCGGGTATTGGTACAAGCCACACAACAAAAATGACTTTGAGAAGAGTTAGAGAGTGGTGAGTATAACAAAAACATGAATAAAAATTAGTTTATCAGAGTGAAATAATGGTGGGATAAATAGTTTATTTAAGGAAAATACAATCAGGAAGTATATTTCCTGTTCACGAAGTTTCTGTTACTTATGTGAAGAAAATGGAATGACGTTACACTAGAACTGCCATTGGCTTCGATTCTGATTCGTCTGATGTCTCGAGCCACTGAGTTGCATTACCTTTAGGACCCCAACCAAGGAGTCGTGAAGGACCAGTAGATGCCAGCCCTGTACAACTTGTTTCATAGCAAGGGATCACACCATACACTGATCACCTCCGCTTTTTCCGATCAGTCACAGCATTGGCATCCGTAGAACATGACCAAGACACAGACGGAATTATCGCTGCTGTGCCCGAACATGTTATTACTGGCCTGTA